GAGCAGGCTGCTCCCCTCAACGTTTTTGCGTGGACTCGTGAGAGGACCTCGTAAAGCAACATTGCACTGCAATCCACCAACCCAACACACAACCGCATGCTGGTTGGATGCAATAGCAGACTCGAATCTTCCCTGATGCCACTCCTAACATTTTAGGTTGTTTTTGTATATAAAAAACTATCTGTCATCTCCATATATGACTTGACGTAGAAAAGGTTAATTCTGCTGACTTACGAGGATGGAAGTGACTGTGGAAACGCGATTGCACTTGTTCTGTTCTGTCTAGGTGTGTAGACCCTATGCAACGGATTTTGAGGTGAGTTTAAGGTACTTTAAATGTTAAAGTACAATCGAAATGTCAAGATGTGGTTGTTCTATTATCTTTGGTGGTCTTTTGCTGACTATTGCCCTGTAAATCACAGATAATCCATTACCAATGCCGGCAGTTTTTCCCACATTTTAGTAATGAAAATAATTGACGTTCACTACAGCTCTAGCATTCAGCCGCATCTCGCACACTTGAGAATTTAAAGGAAGGCCTATTCTTAGTGTACGACAACATACGTCGTTCTTCAACCAATAAATATCGCAAAAGTCAACAGCGTAAGCAATAAATGTTTAACAGTAAATGCGGTGTCCGCTAATGTAGGGTTCAAATAGCAGTAAATTTGAGCGCTTACTCGACAGGAGAGCGAAGTGTAAGCGGAGCGCAGTAAGAATCGAAACTAGCACAACATGAACCAATGACAGCAGGACAAATTTAAACTCGCCACATTTAAGCTGAGCTGAGATCAGAATCACGATTCCCATTAGCATCTAAATATGTTTTAGTGACAGTCCCAAAAGTAAATTGAAAAGAAATTTTCCTATGGTTATGTTGACTCACGACATTTTTCGATAAATGTGGGTTAGTAATATGATCGTAGACGAAACACCTGCAGAATTAAAAGTGCACCCTCTACCAAATGTGGACTTCTGCAACCACCCATCGAATGGTGAACAAACTAAAAAGGCACGTGTGAGTTTAGGAATGAAATAAATCAAATTTATTTTATGTGTTCCACTGGTGCGGCATTTAGAGACGTACTAATTGGGGTCTTTAATGTTCACATGTCTAGAACCATTCATAAACACTTCTCTAAATCGCATCATTTACCGCCTTACGAAGGCGAAATGCAATGTCGATCCTCGTCGGTTTCAAAAAGGTCCGCTAACTAGCACAACTACTCGGGCCATTGGTGATTTCACGTAATTTATTTCTCTAGTTGGCAAAATTTTCTAAGGAAACTGGTAGCACAACGCGCCAATATTTGTCCTAGCATTCATCTTTTTTCAAACCGTATTGTTAATTTCATTGTTTTTTGCATTTAATCTTTGCAGTCAAGGCGATCGGACAACGATGCTCGCATTGGGGCAAACATGAATTTCGCGTGTATTATTGAGGGAGAATTTAGCGTCACATTCTGAACACTTGGATTATTGCACAATAAAAAACTGCTCGCTTTTCAGACCTTGTTCTTAAATTCGTGCAAGTGCTGTTTAAATAATTTCAAAAGACAGTGAACTCGATTCGGTGTTGCAGGTTTTTACTAAATCCAGGCAGAATAACTGAGACCACACAACCTAACACACCTGAGTGTAGCTGCGTGCGTCAGCTCTCTACCCGTCGGCCATTTTTAGGTCAAGTGTGGATTTCAAGAATCTGTTTGCGCTTTACCAGTTTAAATGTTGCAGTAAATCAAACGTACTGCCAGTTCATGTTGGGTCATCGCGCGTCTACCAAGTTACCAAGAGAATTCCAGTCTCTAGCCTGAAAAGTGGGTGGTGGTTTTTTGCTGGAAGCGTGAAATATTACCGAGATTTCAGTGTCTGTAGATTCAATATAGGGCATAGTTATTTGCTATATTCCTGTTGAAATGCCTACAGGATTCTGCTATATACACCGTTGAATGCATTCAGTCGCAACAAGGTAGAAATCGCAAACACAGACTTGCAACTAACAGTAGCTGCTTAGACCCTGGGAGAAGACCATTATAGAAGATCCGGGAAGTTAGGAAGTTCATGTATTATCCTCAAAAAAAATATCGTGACAATAAGCACCGTAAATGGTAAACAGCAGTAGTAAATTGTAAATGCTTACTGTATTCTATATGCTGAAATGAACAATGATCTAAGAGTAGAGTAGAACAAAGAGTTACGCAACTAACACGACAAACGCTCAAGCCATATTAATCTCTCAGTTGGCAGATGAACGAAAACTACGTCGTGATGAGAAACGAGCTACCGACCACACGCACGCCGTGAAGCGCTTCACTGTCGTAACTTATGGCTGAAAAAAAACTTCAGTTTTAATGGGGTCAGCCAGAGGTGAGAGCAATTAGGTCAATTTTCATCGGTTTGTCTTAGCAACACTATGCGAAATCTTGGCTGATGCGAGATCTGACGCATCCTGCTGTGTTCCACGCATCGAAGAAAACTCTGCTTTTTTAAAACAGAATGACCAATTAAGTTGGACGGTATGTTTCCATCGGGTAGTTCGTTCCATGCCACCTGAAGCTATTTGTCAATCCCTCAGTTGATAGATGAAGGAAAACTACACGGAAAAGCTCCAATTTGGTCGAAGAGAAATGGGCTTTTTTGTCACCGAGTTAAGAAACTGTACTTTAAACCACGAAATCACTTGTTGTCATTGGTATAAATACGGCCAATTTGCTTAAGCGAAAGGATTACAGACATGAATATGCTTGGTAAAACGGAAACGTTGTCTGTTATGATGAAAGTTCTACTCAATTTTAACTTGCAATCTTGGTGTCAGCGTTGCTATGGCGGTGCTAGCTCTCGTTTACACCGTCACCGGGGTAACGATGAGTAATATCTCAGCATGAGATTTACAGTGTTTTCGACTGAGTCACTGGACACTCGAGCCTAGCAACGGCACTAACACAATTTCCACTCATTCCTTTAAGCCACAACGAACTGTTATAGCATATTTTACAAAATCATTTCCTTGGTTAAAAGCTACGATTGGGAAACTGGGTGCAACATAGGCTGAGTTTTGTCTGGTGCATGAGTGTACGAAGTGAATGTTTTAAACCGGCGGAAAATTCAGATTCTGTCACATAACGGTTGAGTCACCAAGTCTGCAATGGGCGACAATTTTGCATGAGTCATCTGTCGGAGCCTTGGCCAAAATTTGCGCCGTTTCTGAACGCCGACTTTCACGTGACTGAAAACGCTAGTAATATGCGACAAAATAGCCTGCCTAACGAGCTTAGGGAGGTATTAATCGTATGATGCAGCTTAATGCTGGTACTATTAATAATATAGTAAGATTAGGAACGCAGTCAAAATCTCTCTTATAAAAAGGGTGCGTTTTCAAAACACACCGTGAAAGTGTAACTAGAATAACGTGAAGGTGTTTACACGTAACCCACAACCTTGAGTTGGAAATGCCACATGCGTTTGTCAGATTTCAAAGGTGCTACGAACAAGCTGCAAGACACCAACTCGTCGGCAAAGCGTCTCACCAAAATTCAATTTACCGTGATGACTAGATTTAGAATACATTCAACTTTCTCATACCTAAATGCGAAGACTGGAAATTAATGCGGAGCTTAAGTTTGTAGTGAACTTTCACGAAACAAGCGTGAGTGAAGCTTATTCACGAGATGTTAACTAGAGGGTTGCAAGGTAGTGCCAAATCTCAACCTACAGCAAGTTCGCTTTTGTCCAGCAGCATTCTCAGATGCCTGCATTAGGGCTTTAAAAGATCGTCAGACCGTACGCACAGCAGCGTGCACTGCCTAGAAATTAACCGCCAACCACCTTGAAATCACTGCTGAGTGAGGTCGACCACTGTTTTTCGACCGAGGCTTTAGCCCTGTGTGATAGATACAAGTGAATCAGACGACTTGAGCCCAGTTCTACGCTGGTTGCAAGCTCTGAGATACATTCCACCCATTGAGAGTAGGGAAAACGCGTCATTCACGCTTCCAGGACACAAAGGTCTTTAGCTGCCGCCTTTATGATCACAGTTTATTTGTACCGCGCGGCGACCGCGTTGAAGGAATGTCTTACCGCACGTGCAACGACAGAAATCAACTTATTCGCCTTGGACTAAGGGTACACTTCCAATACAACACTTAGTAGCCAAGTTAACAACCGCAGACAGAAGCCAAGAGGTTTCAAATGCCGTGTGGTTCTTCTCCAAAATATATTATTTGGTCTCTACTACCACTTCCCACCCAAGTCACGAGAAGTCTTCGTCAAGGCTAAACCTTGGTAGTGGCTCATGGACCTTCTATCTTGTGACTTGGATATTATACAAAGCAATCACAAGTAATGATAGCGATTAGAGGGAGAACAAGGCAAGGCCGCGACGAGGCATCAGACGGGAAGAAGCGACAACGCGACTAAAGTTGATTCCAAACAGACGACATTAGCCCCTAGAACTGAAAGACTTGGAGAATGAGGAGGAGGAGGACAGGGTTTATCATTTCGTCAGTGCATTCAGGTCAAGAGGCGGCTGAGGCGGCGGCGGTCCAGACTTTTGTCGTACGAGCTACAAGACAATAAAAGTAGTCAGCAGGTGGGTTGAATTCGTACGCGCGCCACACCGCGCTTGAGACGCCAAGCAACTTGACACAGTGACCAGACGCAGCAAGGCGTGACAACTCACCGCGGTTACGGTGCCGCCGGCGATGGACTCCCCACCCACCCGAAGAACAAATCGACCGAGCGGCTTGCAGACCTCGTAGATCTCCAGACACACGGGCTGCTCCAGGGTGAGTTCGATCTCGGCTGTACAATTCCCCAACAGGCATCTGCATTTTGAGCAAACAAAACGCACCGATGAATTCACTGGCTCGGGGGAAAATTTGTAGCAAAAAATGGGAGTTTCGAAATGCGCTGGGCAAAACAGAGTGGCAATCGACCAAAATTACGCATGCGCAATTTGTAAAATTGACAAGGGAATCGGTTGGTAAGTATGAAACATCAAATAATTTTGCGTTATTTAACTCTATAAGTGCATTTGCATGCACTGTATAACCTTGTTTGCAACACAAAATCCACATCCAAAAAGTACGCCACAAAAGAACGTGTTTCGTGCGTGACGGAGTGGCAGTGAAAGACAGCCAGGACTTGGCAGAGCTCAAGGCCATCCAACATTTGAGAAGAAGACCTGTGCCGCACATTGTTGTGAATGAAGCGGAGTCCAGGCAAAGCGACAAACAGACAACACTAGCCCCTGGAACATTCTTCAAGTGGATGGCCTGTTTCGGCGTCGATGTACTGGCAGTGGAAGACAGCAGCCAGGGCTTCGCAGCTTCAGGCCATCCAACATTTGGCATCCACAATTCCCCAACGAACCAACAAGCCGTCGTGCCATCACCGTGAGCTCTCGATCATGCCCCAAAGGTTACGGAGCATGTTTATCGCACAAATTTCCAGTCCGCAGTGCGCAATAAACTGTGTGCTGCGGTGCCATCAATACACCGAACTGGAAACCTCCTTCATCCAGGAAACACCAAAACCAAGATGATTGGAGACGACTTTCCGAGGCATCAAGGAACTTATTAGGGATGATGAATAAGTCGTTGTAATTCATAACTGACTCAATCCTTGAAAAGTGTTTACGGTAAGATTTTGAAGGCACGAGTGTGCCACTCAACAGTCAACGCGGACCACTATGTTCGATAAATGCGAAGCGATACAGGAAAGGCAGTAAGTGACGCTTGGGAGTCGTTTTGTCTGTTATCAAGTTGCCAGAATGACACAAGGCGTAATGGGAAGTCTCAAATGGGAGGCCCTGGCACAAGTTCATCCAATCACGCGGGGGTTCGTTTAGTCGAAAAAAAACGTGGAGGAATGCAACGAAAACTTGGAATTTAATACCATAGCAGCTTAGTCCTAAAAATTCTTTTCTTCACCCATGAATCTATGAAAAGTTGTACTGTTTAGAAAACCATGTTTGGTCTCGTCTACATACCTTCTGACGTGGAAATCATCACGCACACTTTTGCCACCCCTTCTCCACCAATGGGCACTTTTGAAAATACTGATCAATAAAAAGTGATTAAAAGGCTGGGAAATGCTCGAATTATTGGCAAGAAGGGGGCTTAGAATGAGTTAAGTTCAGTTTTTCACAATCGGGCATTTCAAAAACTTGATTGTTTTCAAAAAGAAGACTATTATTTAACAAAAAAGACAAATTAGGGCCCAGAAAAATTATTTTACTCGATTTAGTCAGTCAGGTATAGGTATCAAGTGTAAAAACAGACAACATTTTACATAGCTTTCAAGGTTTCAATCCGAAAGAGCACAAAAATTGTTCATATTTTGAAATTAAACTGGAGTAATGTTATTAAGGTACTCAAGAGGCAATATGCACTCACTTTAGACACGTCCACTTGAGGTAATTACCTTGAAATTGAAATCTAGGTAATGGACGCCACCAACATTTGCCATATGGAGAATTTCCACATTTGGTTTAGCTACCAAGATAAATGACTTCCACACGAGGACCTTAACAGTGTAATAGCGGCACAAGCGTCAAACTAACAAGAAACACGCAAGAAACCCGACAGACAAGGACTCGACCCAGCAGGGGAGCACTTACCTCGGTTTGGAAACCTCTTTCTTAGTGTGTCCTTTGCCTTTCACCGTAGCGGAGATGAGTTTGGAGACGGTTGCTGGTACAGAGGAGCAGTGGTAATAGAAGATCACAGGGTACCCTCGAGTGATTGGCTGGCTAATCGCAAAAACGAGGACCTTCGCCCGCAGGAGGGAGGTCACAGGGACAAGGGGAGGGTCGGGGTCACAGATGACGTCACCGGGGGACAGCGAGAGACCCGCAGCAATGCCGGACAGCATGAGACCCACCTGATCTCCCGCGAAGGCATACTGGAGGGTGTGATCCAGTAGGCCCATTCCACCTGCGAAAAAAAGTCCCGATCAACAACGTTGGGCAAAATGGACAGCTTAGTAAGCGGGAAGGAGACTGCCATACCATCACTAGACGTGCCGGCTAGGGACCGAATGGAGCGAACAGACCCCGTTTGACCAGAGGGAAGGCAGATTACACGACTAGTTGGGAGGTTGACGCCTGCAGACACCGCGCCGGAGACAACGCGACCTGCTACTATCGGCACCGAGGAGCCGATGGGTTTGAAAATGTCACTCACGACAAAACGAAAAGGTCCCGCCACTGGACGCTCAATTTTATCCAGATTGTCTGAAACAAAAAAAATTAGTACTACTGATTAATTAAAAGTAGGGTGGCTAGCCGGATTTCAGAGCATATCGAACCAGGCGAGCACCGCTGACAATAATATCATACCATTAAGTCTTGACTCTTAATTGTCACTATAAACGAACTAACGGCATAGTAAGAAATACTAGCAAGATTTTACCGATAATGTCAAGCAGACAAGGCCCATTGTACCAAGGAGCGAGTTTCTCAATATCCGCCTCGGGTGGGCAGTCAGTGGAGTGGAGCAGATTCACACCCAGGAGACCAGACACCGGACAGAAGACCACGTCGGCCTGATTGATGGTCTTGAGCATCGCCAGCAGGGCAGCGCGGATCTCCTCGAAGCGCGCCTCGGACCAGCCCACCGTGTCCATCTTATTCACGGCCACAATGAGACGCGAGACACCGAGGAGGCGGACAAGGCGGGCGTGCTCCTGCGTCTGTCCGCCGGCCAGCAGCATGCCCGTCTCGAATTCGCCCGAGGTGGCGTTCACGACGAGCAGGGCGACGTCGGCCTGCGCCGCCCCGCCAATCACCTGCGGCACGAAATCCCGGTGGCCTGGGGCATCAAGCAGAACGATCTGGCGGGTGGGAAACACAAAGCATGCGAGTGCTCCATGTGCTGCCAGAAATACAATACAATACTTAGAAATATTGCCCATCATTTGCTATGACCTTGCGCCATCTCTCTCAGCTAACGTACGAAAGCTGTCACGAAAGAGGCATTCAAGTCATCGTCGACGGATGTATGCACGTCGTCCAGCGTTTCAGGAACTGTTTATCCACAAAGACGGGCTGCTGCTCTTGCATTGACCGGAACAAATGGCACTCGGATGGGGTCAAGTCTGGTGAAGATGCCGCGTGTGGCAGAACTCCCCATCTCAAGTTTAAGAGGCCCTTCTGAATGACGCAGGCGTTGACGTGCAGCAGTGTGACTTGCCTGCTTCCTTGAGCAGTAAATGGGCTACATTCTGAACAGGTTCCTCACTCAATTTCTTCAATTGTTGGCCGTAGCGTTCCACTGTCACCGTCCGACCAGTTTCAAGGTGTTTGTGATAGAGCACACCCTTCATGTCCCCCCACAGCAGGTACGCACGAGAACATTCTCCAAGTGGATGGCCTGTTTCGGCGTCGATGTACTGGCCTGCCAGGCATCTACCCACCACATTCTGTTCTCGTGATTCGCGTAAAACACATACTTCCCACCGCCCGTCACAATTTTCCACAAAACGCAGCCGGTGAGCGATCTGTGAAAGGCACGTGTTCATGCGTCGACCTGGGTTATGCTCACAACATGTGGGAGGCCCAACTTCCACGTTGTTGAATTGATCCCATTTGGTGTTTGTTGACCCCAAACTGAACTGCAAGCTCTAGCTGCGTTTACACTGAGTCTTTCGCCAGC